ATACTGCAACTGTGTGCTTCTTTTCCTGGAAGCCATCAAGGACTTTCTGACTGAGCCTGAAGAGCTGGTCATCTGTTCGTTGGCCTGCACGAAATCCTGCTTGGTTGCTGTCCAGGGCACCGGTTGTTTCCAACCACCAGTATAGGCGGTGGTTGACCATTCTCTCTTCTAGTTTCCCGATGCATGAGGTGAGTGAAATGGGTCGATAGCTTTTCATTTCTTCAGCAGGTTTTCCTTTCTTGAGAATGGGTGTGATGATGGCGTTTCTCCATGCTCTGGGGATGGTGTTTTCATTCCACGTCTTGTTGATCAGCTGGAGAATATAACCCTTACCAATGGGACTGAGGTTGACAAGCATTTCATTGTGAATCTTATCTGGTCCTGGGGATTTGCGGAGCTTCAGTTTCTTCATTGCTCTGTTGAGCTCAGTGAGTGTGAAGTCATCTTCAAAGAGAGAGATGCTTGCATTTGGCGCATGCTCTTTCTCCTTCAGTCTTTTCAGACAGTCTCTATGTTGGTCAGTGTGGGGTGTAGCTTTGTTTATAGAAGCAAAGAACTTGTTGAAGGTTTCTGCCTTTTTTTGGTCTTCTACGATGGTGCCTTCCTCTGTGTCCATGGGTTTTGGGTTGTTTCGGCGCTTTTCTCCACACAAGTTGGAGAGAAGTGACCATGCTTTGGCTCCGTTTCTACGTAGATCAAGGTCTGCAACTGTGGTGCTCCATTTGTTTCTTTTGGCCAAGAGGGTTGTCTGTTTGACCTTAGCTGAGGCTTTTTTGTAGTTAATTTTGTTTCCTGTTGTGGGATTGCTTTCAAGAGTTTTTCGAGCATTTTCTCTGTCTTGGACTGCCTGTTCGATGTTCTTGTTCCAGAAAGGCTTGTACTTTTTCCTGCAACCCCTAGGGATGCAGAGAGCCGCAGCCTTGAGCAGGGAATCTGTTATTGCGCCACAGAAGACATCAACAGAGGGGTTTGGTGTAATATCTTTCAGGAGCTTTTCTGTTGTTGTCTTGTAGAGCTCCCAGTTCGCCTTTTTAAAATTCTACTTGGTCTTTTGTACAAAGTGACTTTGGCTTGGGGTCGACACCAAAGTCATGATGGGTCTGTGGTCGCTACCTATGCCGTCAAGGACTTCTGTGGTGTGTCTTTGGAAGAGGTCGGATGAAAGGATGGTCAAGTCAGGCCTGCTGAGGGTGTTGTGAGCCCTGTGTAGAAGGGTAGGGGTAGATTTCTTGTCTTGGAGAACAAGGAGGTTTGTTGTGCCACAGAGTTCCTCTATGGCCATTCCGCTTTTGTTGTATGTTCTGTATCCCCACTGAGGAGAGTGGCCATTAAAGTCACCCGCAACTATTGTCTTGGTGTATATCGATTCTTGAAGAAATGAAAAAGAGCAGTCATTTCCTGGGGGGCTGTAGATGTTAAAGATTGTAAATTTGCAACCTGCATACCAAATTGTAGCTTTTTGGGTGTCTGTTCTTGTGTCAGTTGTGATGTTTTCAACTTTTCCTTGTATGTCATTTCTGATGTAGGTGATTACACCCTGGCAGTCAGGGCATGTGCAGGTATAATGGGTGTAACCTGGGATATAGGGGTCTGTGTTACGGTGAATAGTTTCTTGTAATAGGGCAACGTGGATTTTTCTTGAGTCCAGAAGGTGAGAAATTTCTATTTTCTTGTTTGCGAGGCCGCAAACGTTGACCTGGAGTAGTCGAAACTGTTCTGTTTTCCCAGTAGCTAACTTTTCACCAGCAGCCTGGAGAGGCACTGCATGGCGCGGGCCTTGATAAACGAGGCGTCGCCCGAGCTCGGATGAATTTAATTTATTTTTCTTTGCCATATTTGCTGGGGAGCCTGTGGGTTTTCTTCCCACCCAGGTCTGTGGTCTACCAGCAGTCCGGTGCATCTGACATTGAGATTTCTGAGCTACAAGTTTTATCTCTCACAGAAGTTGGGCAACGCGCTGAGCAGGGACTGGCTTCCGTTTTACATGTGGTCAAGGCACGATCCACTGTGGTCCATTCCCCGCCACCGCTGTCTCCTGGCGGGCTGTGGGGGGTCAACTTAATCTGGTCTGACCCTGGCAGCATTGTTGAGCCAAAATCACACAGACGAGCGGCTTGTCACGTCCTGGATCCTTTGTGGCGGTACGTAGACGTCCATGTTTAGGCATGCCATGTCCCCGAGGCCTATCCCACCCAGTGGTGTGTTCATCTTTGCAGGGACCAGGAGAATCCATGGAGATGCACAAGGCCAAAGGTAGAGCACAGGCCAACCACAGGGAGTGCGTAGAAGAAGTAGGTGAGGTAGCAGAGGAGGACACTCACTCAAGGGAGAGTGAGAGTGTGTTGGTGGGGGGCATAGCGTCTACCACACGCCGGTGGGTTCTGCCCTCCGCACCTTGTGGGGTCACACCTACTCCCAGCCTGTTGATTTTACCCCTCCTGGCAAACGGGGGTTGGTTTGTTGGCGCCAACGATTTGCCATTTGCCAGAGCCACGTCAGTGCAGACAGGGATCACCACGAGTAGGTGCGGTTGGCTAGACTGGGAGAAGCTATATGAGACGCTTGGGTATTTCTCATCTTTTAAATGAGGCCCTTCACCAGCCCTTGATCCCCTTATGTCCATATAAAAACACATTTCCATTTGAATTTTACTGAAAAACATTGATTAACACTTTGCCGCCTCATCTCGCAGATCGTAATGAGATTATTTATTTAAGTGCTATCTAATCCTAGATTCTACTCGTTAGTCTATCTACGTTGGTTTCAATACTCACTGTTTCGAGCGGGGAACGATGTGTGTGGGTCGTACAGGTCCGGAGCTCCATCCACTACGTCGACCCACCAGTAGTGTCGATCCCTGGTCAGTCTAAATTTAAGTCGTGGCTCGGAAGGCCGGTTCAACCTTCGCATTTGTTTATATACTCCCGGTGCTCCCTTATTCTATACACTCACCAGGCAACACTGAGTTTGTTCTCTTATTTCATGTGATTCTGGCTTGTCGGGTGATCACAGCAAATTATAGACCACACCAATGCTGTCACCTACCACCTTGCACCCCTCCTATCTCATCCAAACATCTCCATGGACAAAAATAGACAGCTTATCACCTCAATATTCATTCCAACATTATGCTACCAGTGCCAGACCTGAACATTAAGTAAAAGCCATGAAAGCAAAATCACGGCATGTGAAATGAAATATCTCCGCAGAACCCTTAACATCACAAGACAAGACAGGTAGAGAAATGAAGAAGTAAAAGCAGCTATCAACATAGAAAGACAGAGAATAAAATAGTTTGGCCACCTGTTACGTATGTCACCTGGCCAACCAGCCTCGAGAGCCTACAACACCGAGCACTCAGGATATAAAAGAAGAGGAAGGCCACGCAAAAGGTGGATCGAGGATGTCACGGAAACCCCCCAAAAACATAATATCACAACTGAAAGAGCTGCGGAGCTGGCCTGCCATAGAAAACTGCATCTCCCCTCGATGCTTAACGGCTATAGAGGGTGAAAAAGTAAAGTAAAAGTATGTAGCCAGGTGACCTCACTTCCTTCAATTGCAAATTCTTGAGTTCTATTCAAGATAGATGGATATTTATTTCATTGAAAGCAAGGCAAATCAGCTTTCAGATGATACCTATAACCCCACATTCACAAAAATTGACAAGCACCTGATTCTACCACCTCATGACACAATTTAATTTCAGTTTCCCAGGACTCGTAAGCTTTGGAAATCAACCAACTTTGGCGGCCATTTCTTCACTAATATTACCTCTGAAACCAGGCAACCCCCACCTCCTTCAATCCGAAATATCTCAACTTTTATATTTATGATAGAATTGGTTATTTTTTAAATTTAAAATGGGACAAATGGTCAAGCTGTTAGATGATACACAATGACTCTTTATGCCCAAAAATTGACGAGCACCTGATTCATATTATGCAATGACTAATTGTAAGTCTTGTATAAAATCAATTTTGGGAAGGAATTCTAAATGATACACCCATTCAGTATGGTACTTAAAAGTACTGAAAGCAATAATATTAATACAGTCCATACAAACGGCCATTTCCCATTTCGTCCCTTGCCTTACATATTTTGTACCTCGTTTTAAATTACAATGACACTATGTAAGAATGCCACTTTTCTCCTCGACACTGGGTGGCTGTCTTAGACAATTCCAACTGTATTTTGCTGAAGGATATATATATGTTCAGGGTTGTGAAAGTATCGCCTTTTAAAAAATTTTCTGCCAATTATTAATTATGTGCAGGCACTAGAAAAAAAAAAATCACATAGGCCTACCGCAGTACCTTATTTTCAACCTGACAGTAACAGCACCAGTTTTACCCTTTTTCATCTGAATTTTAGTGCCTTACTGCAAACTGTTTGACAGAAACAAAATGAAAATGAAAGGTTGTTTTGGGGTTAGGTATAATTTTGAAAAGAAAAATTGATCTGAAATATTGATCAATACAGTACTAATACTTTTAAAATGTTAAATACCTCTGATAAAGAACAGATCAATTGGAATTTCTTCAGAATTCAGCATGATACTTGTTTGATAATAATTCATCTGAGGCAAGGAATAACATATCAGTTAGCATCTTAATATTGCTTTTTTAAGACATCAAAAGCACGAGCTGGGTATTTCTGAAAGCAATCTATCCCCTTCTATTCCATTTTAGGCTCAGTGCAGGGGATTCAATCAGAATCCTCCCCTTGAATATGGTTGGGTCAGACCTTAAACTTGAATAAGATTTCATAGGCAATACGACTCATTGGGTTTACCAATAGATTTTCAGCGTTGCCTGTTCTGAAATTGTGTATTGTAGGCCTAATTAACTTTTAAAAAATATATTTTAAAAAGAAAATTATTCTTTTAGGCATGGTGTTGGCAAAGGGGACAAGAGAGAAGATTGATAAGGGAGACACAGTCAGTTCTGGGTAACATCCTGTATTTAGTCATAACCTTCTTTTTTTCTTTTTTTTTTCAGTAAAATTGTGCTCCAAGATGGAAGTACCAGACCTTGCAAGCGCTGAGCAAAGAAACTCAGAGAAGTCTAAAATGGAAGACAAGCAGGAACGAGTAAGATCATTTTCATACAGAAAGTCATAACATCAGAGCACAGATGAATTTGTCATGGCTCTGACGTTACAATGGAGTTTGATATGATCAAGGAATACAAGTTGTGCTTATTTAATGTTTGAAATCAAAATGTAATTGTAAAAATTTGTATTACAATTATTAATTTTAAATCCTTATTTTCTTTAAAATGCAATTGCAAGGCTGGACAGTTTTATTAAACGTATCACCACTTCACTTTTGGTTTATGCCAGGATAACTTCGAATACTATGTACCCATCAGTGGTAATGGTCTTTACAGTATGAACTACCCAAACAACCCCTTCTTCTTCACTGTTGTCTCTGAACTTGTTGTCACCATTTCTTATACTTTATATTTATAAGACGTTTGATGAAGTGGTACCGTAGTAGAAAGAACATCTTTTTGCCTCTATTGCACCTGTCTATTTTCCTTGCATTAACATTGTCCCATCTTGGCCCAGTGGTGCCATAACTAACCCAGGGTCTGAGAGGTAGTTTTTATGGTTGTGCATACCTCTTCCCAATGAGTTGACTTTGGAGAATAATTTAAGCTAGTCTATAGCCTCATGATCATGTTGCTTTGTTTTGTCACCCTCTCAGTGAAAAATAATAATAATTTTTTCAACATTTGTGTTCAGGTGCACATTGAGTAAAATTTTTACCAAAAAAGAATGGAGAGAACAAAATCTTGACTGAGGTTTCAGTTTGAAGAAGCTGTGTTTTGGGGGTTTTTATGTCCAAGTTTGGGAGACTTATGTGAACAACTAAAAATGATTATTTACATTTCGTTAAAATCACAGTAATTAGGTGCAAGTTGCATAGGAGGGAGTTTCTTTTAGATTAACACGTTTACTTTTTTCATACTTACATATTCATAAATGTTTTTTATCTTACACCGATTGTTTACTACTAGTTTACTCTTTTTAAAAAAGCATCCTCAGTAATAGATGTCACCCCCAGTGCTGGTGGAGACATCTTGTTTCATATTTCCGAAATGGAAGGGTTTTTTCTTTAATCAATTTTTGCTTCTACTCTTTGTATACAAGATACATCACTTCCCAAAAATATTATATTGCTTCTTGAAATGTATTTTTCTTGACTTATTCCTTCACAAAGTTCCTGGTATGCTCAACTATGTCAAATACGTTTGTATTTAAATATTTTAAAGATTTTTAACAGTGGCATACCTGAAAATGGACAGGTTTTCATTAAGAAGTGTCAGTTAAAAATAATAATTTTAATGACATTCCTCCTGGTTTTCCTATGCCACCATTGAAATCTTTTAAGCTGTTCTTCAAAAAGTTTTCTTGCATTTCTCTTTATTATATTGTGAATGATGTCCCTTTTACATTTTTTATTTTTCTTTTTATTCCTTTTTTATCCAGATTTTGCTCTCCCCATACAAGTACATTTGTCAAATTCCTGGAAAGCAAATTAGAACAAAGTTGTCTGTTGTAAGTACTTTATCCTTTGCGTTTTATATTTTCTCTTTAACTGTATTTGAAGAATGCACATTATATTACATTACACATATTATGTGTAAATGCATTTATTAACTCTAAACTTTCTAAAAATACAAGAGCCTTGCTGGAAAGTTTTTCTATCAAAGTCAGGGTTACTCAAAGTACAGGGTGCACCTATCTCATCATATTTTTAGACATCGTCAGTATGTCTGGCTCAGTCAGTAGCCAAACCTTTCGAATTTTGTTTTTCGAGAGCAGTATGGGTTTTACTTTTCGCATTTCTTTATCTATTACAACTGTTCTTTCTCTTCTCTATTCCTCCATAATTTCTGATGCAAACCATTAAATACCTTCTTTGATTGTAAAATGCCCCTTTAAATTCACGATGTGCTAAAAATTATTCTTCTTATTTCACATTTGATTTGATTTTAAAATCATGGAGAGACCCTTTGCCTGTCTCTAAAATTATTCTGAGAGACAAAGGTGGCTAGTTAAGTTTCTGCTTCAATCTCAATAGTCACTGCTTCCACCAGTAGATTTATTCCTTTTCTCATGGTTTTCTTTATTCTTTTTAATTTCAGGCCTTCAACCACTGGTTGCAAATCCCAGAGGACAAACTCAAAATCATATCTGATGTTATTCAGATGCTTCATAATGCAAGTCTAATGTAAGCTTGACTTCCTCTTGCTGCAAATTTGGTGACATTTTAGATAACATTTTATTGATCTCCACATAGAAAAATTTGCTGCAGCACAGTAAACACATACATGCACAGGTCCAAAGACATATGCACGCACACACACTCATTGGTTGAATGTGCAAATTTGTTATTCTAACAATGATCACTATTATACTGACCCTTTGTTCATTCTAGACAGCTTTTCTCACTCAGTTAAGGTCTACACCTGTTTCAGGAACACCTCTTTTCTCTATGATCTGGATCATGCAGTCAATGTGGGGGGACATGCATCTTTTTTCTCTGTTATGTTTCCCTCAAACTCAAAGGCTGTGTGAACACTTATATTAGTTTATTGAGTTGCTATGCTTTGTTGATTGTTTTGCAGAGATCACATACATAGTTTTGTACTGATTGTTTGGGAAGTGGGGCCTTCCATGATGCAATGTTAGTGAAACTTTGAAATACTGCGGTCTGCTTTGCCAAAAATGCATGGATGCTCAATGCTATAGTTATCTGCTTAATACTTACAGCAACCATTTATTTTGTTTCTGTAACTCTTTTACAAATACCAAAAATATGAAGAAAAAAAATAAGGAATACTGGTGATGCATATCAGCATTTCGTTATTCCATAACGTGAGTGGGAAAAATGTTTTGGCAATGTGAAATTTGCCTAGTATATTAAAGATTTTGTTTTTGAACAACTTTGTGTGAATGAGAAATAGTTGTTTTAATACAATTTTACAATCTCTTTTCTCCTGTAAAAATTTGCATTTCCTCTTATTTGTTAGTTAGTTAGGATCTTCATTATATTTAATATTTTTTAACTGTATTCAAAATACTAGCATTTAGATGCAATCATACTGTGTAGTACTCTTGAAAAAAACCCAACCTTTCTGTTAAGTGAGTTGAAAAGATTTGAAAAATCTCGAATTTGTGTTTCTTTTTTGTTATGAAATAAATGAAATGATGACAAACATTCAGTACTAGGAAAAGGCAATAGTACATACGTAAATAGGTAAAGACCAGGGTTTAAAAAGGAAGGCGTCTTAGTGATACCTCGACCTCTCTCAACGTAGAAAATATAAAAGTATTTTTAGGCATATTTGCCACAATACACTGATCCATCAACTCATTGAACAAGGGGGAGAGGGTAATATGTTGTAATATAGGACACAGACAGGAGATGCAGTACCTCTTATTGGAGAATAATGTTCATGAACATCTGTGCTCAGATGTACGTGGATGAATATGATTACAGCATAACTCTTGACTTATACCAAAATCAAACTGACTTACCATAGTGTTTTTATTTTCTATGCTGACACATCACCGAGTAGATGAAGAGTCATCAAATTTTCAAGTTGTAAAAATGACATACTTTTTGTCGTAGTTAGAAAAAGACATGAAATCCTTAACTTTTTTTCTCGATTTATATAGAACTATTTCAAATAGCTTACTGTTTTATCTTATCGCTTTGATGATATTGTCTGTGCCTTCTTTCCTGATTGCTGTCCTGTTACGCTGTGGGGCCTTTTGTGTCTAGTATCATAGTTGAATTCACTAAAGAAAAGATTTGCTTGCTCCATGAAAACTTTTTTCTTTGGTGTTCCTCTGTTTCAGCATTGATGATATAGAGGACAATTCCAAGTTACGGAGAGGCATTCCAGGTACAATTTTTAAAATCCTGATTATTTATATAAGACTTGTTCTGTGAACGTTTTAGCATGTGTATATATGTGAAAAGAGAGACAGAATGAATAGTGGTTATTTCTATCTTTTCTAATAGAACTTGATTTAAATTTTGTTTTCATTTCTTTGCAGAGGAGACCTTTGTTATAATGATAAGAGATTACATATTTGTAAAACACATATCCCAGCTCAAAAGTAGGCCGTATGTTCCTTTTGATTTATTATTGTCCTTACAGACTTTTTTACTGTCTGAAAGTTTTTTGGCTTCCTGGGACACATGCAGTACAAGCTGTTATTTTCCAAAACACTAAACCAGTGGCAAGATCTTTCACTGTCTTTATCTGTGTACCTATTCCCACCTGGTTGGAGTGAGAAAAGTGTGCATAAAGTGTCAAGCAGACAACATGGTTTTCAGACTGAGATTCAAACCTCTTGACCTCATGGTTTTGAGTCCGACAACCTAACCACTAGACAGCAATGCTAGTGTAGTACAAGTCGACTCAGACTAGTTATATTCTTTGCTTCAAACAGCTTTTGGAGGGCTTGAATAAGCCAATGTAGACAAAAAAATACAATAAGGATGTGTATGTACATACATACTTAGATGTTATAAACCCCCCTGGGCAGTGTCACTGACTGTAGTGTCTTTAGGCCATTCCCAAAGGGGGGACATTTCTCGTTCAAGCATAGCAGAATTGTAGATGGGCTGACTCATCATGTCACGCTCAGAACTGTGCCTGGTCTACAACAGGGAACTGCTGCTTTTTCTTTCCTAATCCTTACTATTGTCATTTTCTTCTACTTCTTTTGTATGTTTGCCACTCTCTTGTGACGCGCTATTTCCGGGGTGCCTTGATAGTCGAAGCAGACCTTGTACTGTTGAAGCTAGAGAGGTGAGCAGAGTAAGTCTGATTCCCTGTAAAGACTTCTCTGTTGACACCCACCCCTTGGCGCTCATATGACTTTATGCAGTTGCGAGTGCTGTAAAACCCTCTACTATAAAAAAAAAAGATGTTTTAAAGGTACAGTTGAACCTGTGTAAGACGGAATCGCAAGGGAGCCAGAAAAAAATTTCGTCTTAGGCAGGGGCATTTAGGGGGAGGTGGAGGGTGGTTTCAAAGGCCCAGCTGGTAGGATTTAGAATCACCTGTGTGGTCGGCAAGCAGTGGTCAAAACTTCACACCTCAACTGCTATCCTGTCTGATAATGACGTGCGTCACTCTTATACTTATCCAATTACCACAAGTGCTTGCGTTTCATGGGACCACTGTTTGACCTATTAAAAACAGAAACATTTGAACATCTCATTTGCTTCCACCCTTAGCCCCACTAATCTGTGTAATAAGCCTAGTCCCACCCCTTACTGCCATGTAGCACTGATTTGAGGAACTCTTCTTGGCTGGTGTACGATCAGGGCGGCAGGCATTGGTCAAACTAATTTCACACCTCTGGCTTCTGGCTACTCTGGAAAGTTTCTGTGGTGGCTAGCTGCTCGAGCACTTTCACTGCATTGCTCAGGGCTCACATGGATGGGGTAACATCTACCCCAAACTGCACCCCTCTTCCCTTCCTCGCATAGTGGCATTGCGTTAAGTTTAGAGCCGGTGGAATCACATTCGCGAATTTTGTTTCAAATTAGGGCATTTTCCGTCTTAGACAGGTAAAACCCTCAGAAGGGAGCGGATTTTTCTTTCCGTTTCCTCGTTGGACAGTTTCCGTTTTATACACGTACTTACTTAAAGAGGAATATATCAAGGGAGGAGCAGGGAGATTCCGTTAAGACAGGTTTCCGTTTTACACAGGTTTCCGTTAAGGCAAGTTGGACTGTAATTTATCGAGTTGGTGCCTGTATTCAATTTTGCACATTATTTTATTTCATTGTCGCTGTCATCATCAAATTTTTGTGTACTTTTTATTTTCCTCCTTAGTGACTCATTCCATCTTTGGCGTGGCCCAAACCATCAACACAGCCAATTACGTCTACTTCCAGGGGTTAGAAAAACTTTTCACTCTGGGCAAACTAGAGCAGACAACGCGAGTGTTCACAGGTATATCTTCTCTTGTCAGTTGCGTTTTAAGTGCATTGTAAAGGATATCTGCCTGAGAGTTTTAAGACAAAAGTTATGTTCTTCATTTTCAGATTCTATCCAAACATAGAGTTTACTTGCTTCTTCAAGACATACATTGAGATCTATTACAGGTAATCCCTATATTTATGGAGCTATGTCAATGAAGCAGCTAGCTGATTTTAAGACATTTTGCCTATGACACACCACTGCAGTTTGCTATCTCAGGGTGAAGGCTGTGAAGGACTTGAGTAAAAGACTGTGTTTTTCACTGGCCAAGTCTACACAAAGCAAAAATCAGACTGGATGTTTTGGCATGAGAACCAAGCTCCTCAACTCTGGACTTGTTGTTGATTTTGTTGTGGCTGTTGTTGTAATGTTACTCCACACTAGACACATTATACTTTGTTGAGGTTTTTTTAAGAGGAAGCACTTGGTCCCCCATCAGGTCACTGCAAAGAAATATTCCGAAAAGGGTGAAGAAACAATTTAGATGCTCTTCAATTTCAAATCTGAAACTTCACGAGTGTCAGATCAAGTTCATTACCTACTACACCACAAGGACCTTCCTAGCTTAACGTCCCCGCTAACAGTGCTAACTGATGTTGTGTTTCTCAGAGCATCTACTGGAGCTTCATCGTGGTCAGGGCATGGACATTTACTGGAGGGACGCCGTCGTCTGCCCCACTGAAGAGGAATACCGGATCATGGTCATCCGAAGTAGGTGTCAGAATTCAGTGATAAGAAAATGGGCGAGTGGGGGGGGCCCCGAAAATAATTGTAATTATAACTATAAACTATAATAGTAAAAACAGCTATTGATAATAGTATTAATTTTTAGATTGTTTGTGGATGTTTTACCGTTTGAAATTGATAATGATAGTGATAGTAAAAAAGGAGAAAGAATAAGGATTATTACTGATAATTATTTGTATAATAAACTTAGATGAACTATTATTGTTGATAATTATTCTTACCATTTTTGTTATTATCGTTATAAATTTTCAAGTGCCTCCCCCCCTTCCCAATTATAATTATAACATTGTTAATAGCATAAATATTAATAAAAATGATGATGATAATAAATATGGTAATAATAGAAATAATGATAATGATAATACATGTAATATGAATAGCTTTAACCACAGCAACAAAAATTTAATGGAATTTCAAGAGCTATTAGAAGGAACTTGAAGCCCTTTCTGGTTTTAGTTCTAAATAGATCATTTCGAGCAGAAGCTTTTCTAAGTCATGGATTTGTTTCAAGAGTTTTTCTGTTGTTCGATTTATAAGAACAGAAAAAATATAATTTTCATGACTTCTGCTTTTTACACCTAATATTTTACCTTTGTCTCCTCTAGACAAAAAATACAAGGATATCTGGTTTCACCTCATGTAGAATATATAGAACACATATTTCTATATATAGAATATCTCATGTCTCTGTTTTCAGAAACAGGTGGTCTGTTTGGGTTGGCTGTTGAGCTGATGCAGCTTTTCAGTGAAAACAAAAGGTGAGAGATAAGTTACAGTGTAGGTGTCTTGGAAATTCACGTTTCCCTCAGTAACATTTAGAAAGGAATGCATTTTTTTAAAACCACCGATGAGGAGAGTTTTATGCCAGTAGCTTATTTACTGAGACTTTCCATCATCATCATCATTGCCTTTCTCACCCTGCACTTGGGTATAGGCCACGGACGAACACTTTCCACCTTTCTCTATCCTGGGCTAGCCTCTTGATATTATTCCATGTCTTCCCACTTTTCCATACACCAATTTCTGTGATTCTCCTAGCGGTTACCCTTGATCTTTTACCCTGTGGAGAGACTTCCCATTTTTATGAAATACATCTTTCATCTCTTTTTTTTTAAAGTCTGTATTTGGCCTAAATCTCTAGACCCTAAGGGTATGAAAAGTACCTTAACGTTAAAAAAAAACGTCACCGAATGTGTACCTCCAATGCTGAAACTTTCATGTTAACAAAAAGAGAATGTGCAAGGGGCGCAGGGTCTAAGGGGTAGATGCTTGCACCACTCTCTGTCTCTCTCCCTCCCTCCCTCCCTCTCTCTCTCTCTCTCTCTCTCTCTCTCTCTCTCTCTCTCTCTCTCTCTCTCTCTCTCTCTCTCTCTCTCTCTCTCTCTCAATTCTTCTCTCAATCCTTCTCTCAATATCTTTCCCTTCCTCGCTCCATCCCTTCCACCTCTCTTCCCCCCCCCCCCCCCCCCCACACACACACACAGACATTCTCTCACATTAACACACACACACACTGAACAAGTTTTGTAACTTGTATCTGTGACGTAATTGTTCAGCTCTTCTTGAATGCAAAAGACATGAGTTTATCTCCCACATGGGTAAGGTGTTTTGTCCAATTTCTCAGACTCTGCAAGGATGCAGTAATGACAAATATTTTGTGTGGGTCTTTTTGCAGTAATTTCAAGCCTTTATTGGACACATTGGGCTTGTATTTCCAGATACGAGATGATTATGCCAACCTCAGCTCCAAGGAGGTAAGACTGAGATTGTTAATCTTCTTTCTGTCCAGTTCCTTACCACTCTATTTTCAAGAATGGAGGAATTTTTAAAAAAATTTTCGTAGCCTTTGTGATAAGGACCACTATCCGTAGCGGAGTAAATTTTTACAGAAGCAAAAATTTATTTGGTATCTTCACACATCAACCCGATGGCAGGCAGGTTGTTCAGCTGTAGCTTTTCTAGCCAAAATTCAGATCTGTCTTTGACTGAGCATACAAAATGGATAATTCATTATTTGTGAAATTTTAAAAAACTGCTCATTTGTGGATTAGCCAGTCTTATCGAAAGAGCGATGATTTACTTTATCGATCCAGGGTACATCTGACAATATTGCAGTCACAATCTTTTAGTTTTAAAATGCACGAGTTACTTTTTATGCGAGTTTCCATTCCTTCTGTTTGAAATACCTGATGAATTTGGTTTTCACTTTCTTTTCCAGTATGAAGCGAACAAAAGTTACTGTGAAGACCTGACAGAAGGAAAGTTCTCCTTTCCCATCATCCATGCAGTGAGAGCGAATCCAGACGACACGCAAGTGCTGAGTATCCTTTGCTGTTCAGTATTTTGTTCACACTGCAAAGATAAAAAGTATGCACAAATACCATAAAGAGGGGGGGGGGGAAATATCATGGATAGTTTTAAAGACCTCTTGTGTGGAGAGAGACCTGAAAGTGATCCTGAAAGAAAAAAATGTGGAATGTAGAAGTGATGGTTGTGATTGTCAATGTTTTACACCTCTAGCAACATTTAGGAGGCAGATTGTTTTTACCCTGACTGTTTTAATGGAACACAGCTTCTCAGCAGAAAGGGGAAGATACTCGGTGTACGAAGCCGTCTCACTCGAGAAATGAACCCTTCATCATTTTTGCATGGGAGGGTAAGAGCCAAACCAAAACACAAGAGATGTCAGTAATCTTGTTGCATAAAACACTGTTCCATCGTAGCAGACTAGTGTTCGTGACGTCTGGTCTATATTTATGCCCTGGGACAATGGCTTGTATGGAATATTAGACCAACGTGTTTCAGAAAATGCAAGTCAATGTGAATGCTGGGAGATGGCTGTCATATCATTTTATGTCTCTTCAGGCGTTCCATATAATGCCTATGCTGCCACATCTTTGACATCCATCTTGAGACTGATTTTGACGTCCCTCACCAAGTGGAGAAATTTATTTTCTTTGAAAGTGCTGTAGTTCCAAATCACCTTCCCCCTACAAAAGTTAAGTAATTGATAAGGGTTAGCAATACAGAGAATCATCATGGCCTTTTAGATAAAATTAGAGCTTCCAATTCTTTGCTTATGTTCAGGAATTGCCATTTTTGTGAATCTAGAAGCCATCAAGTTTTTGTCCTTCAGCGCAGTGCTATGTTGTAACAAGTGGAGGTTGTACGGGAATTGGATACTGCTGTCCCCGAAATTTTATGCAAGAAAAATTCTGAAATTATGCAAATTGAGCCCAAAAATGTGAAATTATGCGATTCTGTTAATTTTAACAAAGAATGATAAAGGAAAATAATCAGAAATTATGCGAAAAAATGATCAAATTTTGCTAAATTATGCGAGGTGCATAAAACCACGTGGACAGGTACCGGTCACCCCTTGATGGGTAACTTTTTTTTTTCTTTTTAACTCTTATAGCACCTGGTGCAAGTACATTGTCATCAGGTGTAAAGTGAGTCTGGCATTATTTGATAAAACATACTATAAAAGGAGTTAAATGGCTCCACTGAGCATGGCATTGATTCATTTAGAAAGGTTCTTTACCTATTGTTCCACACCTCACCCAGGGGCAATGGGTACTTGGCTGTTGATTTAGATACAATGTACGAATGATAAAGTTAACAGGCATCTACAACGTATATATCCTCTCAAGGACCATAATGATGATTTGGAATGAACAAGCTGGCCAAAATATTTATTGTGAAGTCATGCAATCTGAACTTTTCTTGAGAATGGATTTACCACCATAATGAAGTACAGTAGCTTTCACTTTTATATCGTTTGCATTTGTTTGTTCGTGTTTAACTCCCTATCTGAGGCAAGCCACTCCCAGTGGCTTGTGTTCAGAGTCACTGTGCCAGCGTGCCACTGGCAGGGGCATGGGCACATTCATGTACAGCAACATCAATGTAAGGGGTCTCTTTTACTGGGATTTCTTTCATAAGATAGTTATTTTGTTTTGATTGAATGATCAATTTATTGTCGTACATGTCACTTTTAGGTTTCGCACCAAAAGAGGGCCATGGTACACTGGGACCCCCTACCCCTCCCCAGATAAAGAGTTAAGTACTGAATGTAACACACTCTCAAATGAGTCATTGCAAAGTCATTGAGGCAGTCGGAGTAATACACAACCATTAGTAAAAGCTTTAAGTTAACTGGAACTAATTTTGTCTGCAAGTATGGCAATAAGCAGAGGGTGTTATATTATTTTATGCTGATTTTTTCTTATTGATGGAAAGAGATGTCTTTTTATTTCCTTAACTTGCTTGTTCAGGCATTTTGCGTCAAAGGACAACTGACAATGATATAAAAAAGTATTGTGTGGAGTACATGGAGAGGATGGGCAGCTTTGAGTACACTCGTAATGTTCTCATGGACCTGGAAAAACAGTAAGTGCTTGCCCTTTGTTTTTACCAATGAGATACAAGTTTTGATATTCTCACAGCGTCATGCTCCTTCAGGTAGCAGGTGTGTGCTTTTGGAATGGCTTGCTCCTTAGCCTTTTTCTTCTGTTCAATAATACTAGGTAGCGTAAACATGGCTTCGCTGCCTTCCGAGCTCATGGTTTCGGGGAAATTGGGGTAATTCAGATCGCTGTTTCTTCACTCTTTCACTATAAAACACCAAATGCTGTACACTTTGAAAACATTCAGCTTTTCCTCGTTACAATGGTGTAAGTTGTTTATAGATCCGAATATTAGGAGGTGGAGAATCGCCATGGAAAGCGAGGCCCCTTGCGATCGGAATGCGTGGTCGGCCAGTTAAAAAATTAACACATGTGCATTCAAATGCTTCGCGGAAAGATTGATGATTAAATACCGTCTCTTCATTGGCAGAGAACTGTAGAGCTTTGAAAGGGCTTTCCTGCAGTATATTGATATATTTTTGGCCATTGGTGTTTAAATAGAAAGCCTTTGAAAATACTGCCAAAGTTTTGAAAGATCATTTTTTACACGAAATATGTAAAATACCGGCTCGAAAAAGGTACCAATAGAAAGATCAGTTCATCTTTTATTTGAATATAGTAATCGGCTTGGAATTATTTTGCTTCAATCCTTCTGCAAAACTCGGAAAGCATGTGGCCCCCCATTAGTGGTGGGCGGTACCGGCGAAATCCAGTCTCGGTGCTTTCTCGGCTTTCTTCTTTGAAGTTTGCCGCCGCGTGGGATTAAACTTTGCAAGCAGAATTTTTAAAATAGTTATCGCCGCTAAAAAATTGATTTCATTTTCGGAATCAGCGTATCAAAATAAGCAAAGTGGCTCGCGTGGAACCTGATTTGAAGCCATATTATAAATTTAAGCAAACTTCGTTTTTGATTGTCAATTTTGAATCTGAAGTCCTGTATCAAGGTCACCCACTGCGTTGTGTGCATCTGACGTCACAGCTGCTAGGCCTAGGCCTACACACTGCACACTTCCCGTGGCCCGGTAAGAAAAAAACCCCGTCACGTCGGCTCCTTCTCAGAGCCGGTATAACCGTTGGTGTTGGCTCCTTCCCAGAGCCGGTACTGGAGGCCAGGTGTCGGTACTGACACCTCCTTCGTTAGAACCGGGAGTTCCGGTACTGGGTACTGGTACCTGCCCATCCCTACCCCCCATGCGGGGAGCACTCGGTACACTATAGGACAATGCTCTGTGTTTTTGTCGAAATTGCGACAGATCACTGTGTTTGAGAAAAAAAAATACTGATTTGTAATTATCTCACAGTCTTCAACAAAATTAGGCTCCATATCTATGAAATAGTGATTGTACTCTGTCCATGTGGAGATGTTTGGTACACTTGGTATTCTTTTATTGTGTGTCAAACATGGGGTTGCAGCTAGTTAGCGACTTAAGCAATATTTGACTGTATTTAAACAGCTACCATTTTCTTAAAAATTGAATGAGAAGTAAAAGAATAGTACTAAAATTCTCAGGAGACATAGGCCTTTCATTTGGAACAGATAAATTTGGCATACAGCTACTTTGATAATTTAGTTTCTGGTACCTAATAATACTATCTTTCCAATAGTGTTTCTGGCAAAATATGAATGTCTAAATAACAAATTGTAAAGATAGATAAGATAAGATAAGATAAGATACATCTTTATTGTCCAGATCCTGGCACATTTTCACCACGTGTACACACACACACACACACACACACACACACACACACACACACACACACACACACACACACACACACATGTACACACACATAGGCTTACAATCACATGCATAATATAAATGAGCAGCAATATAAACCACTTCCCAGGGAAAACTTGTGTCTCAAAATATGATTGTTTGCTTTGCTACCCTTGAAATACATTTTTCTGTTTTTAAAAAAAACATGTATCAAAATAATTTTGATTTTATGGCCACTTTAGATTAAGAACTTGGCCAATATATGAAAACTAGAGGTTCTCATCTTTGAGATTTCCAAATTTTTGTTGTTCTTCCTGGAGAATGTTCCTTCTTTTTGCAGTGTCTATGGATAAAGAAGTAAACCTTCTAAATGACCAATCTCATGTCAAAAAGAGCGTTAAACTTAAATAACAACTTGAACTCCTCTTGGAATATGTTAAGAATTTTGTTCTTTACAAATATTTGTTATGTTATGGTTAGACTCTTCTCCTTAAATGTAAAGGATGTGAGTTCGATTTCAAGTTGAGCAGATATTTTATTGTGTATCTTTGTACCTTCCTGAAAGATGTGTCCCACTTATCCCAGGTTGACTCTGACAAGCAGAGTATAAGCAACTTGATTCTTTAATGATTTTAATTTTGTCAATAGGGGGTTACAACGTTCTCTAAAAATGACATCAAACAACACTGATCTCTTTCCCAGATTGGTGCAGGAGATAGCATCTCTGGGAGAGAACCCATACCTGACAGGACTTGTCTCAGAACTGAGGAAGATCTACACCCTAGTGGCTGGTTCCAGCTCATAGCAGAGAAGGGAGGACTAGTGCACTTTTGTATATAGCAACAACCAGTGCAATGACCTCACTTGGCTGAGGACTGCGATATTACTGCCTCCAACTACAAGTGAACAGCTTTAAATATTGTCAATTGAAATGGGAGAATTTCGTTGATTTAATGTAATTGGAAAGCATAATTTGTGACAACCGTAGACTTTTTTTTTACTCTTTAGGACAAGGCGAGGATGTAACCTTACTTTTATTAATTTTTAATTTTGAAGAATTAATTAATTTGTCCTTGGAGATGTTCCTGTATGTTTTTTTATTCACTCCCCCCCCCCCCCCCCCCCCCCCCACCACCACCACCTTATTTTGTTCCTTCTTCCGCACCCGCTCCTCTCTCCTTGTTTTTGGGTCGTCAACTTCCCTGATCAGGTTAACTCACTGTGAGGTTTTATTATGACAATATGGATACAGAGGAAAGGTTTAGAAAATAATCAGATTTTGTGTGATATACAACAATTCACTGGCTTGTAGTTGGAGTACTCTCCTTGATCAGTGATGATTATATTGTCTGTTTGGTCATTCTTCTCGCTTCTTCATATTGTGACCTGTGTTCATTCCAGTAGTCACTTGAAGTTAATTTTAACCAAATGATATTTGATACTTCATGTACATGGTAGGTTTTCTATGTTTTGAAAATTGTTTTTATGATTATTCTTTTACGTCTGATGTAAGGGTTGTCTGCATGGAGTCATTAGCTGAAAATGACTAGGAGAACATTCCTACTGTCAGAACTGAGCACATGAGAACTATGGACTTCTGTACTTTGAAACTTGTGGCAGGCTAAGCATCAGTATCCTTTCCCATCATATTTTCTTACTAAAGGTGACTTTCCCATCGCTGTTCAATCACTGGCATGCATCTGGGTACAAGACTTGTAAGACTTTGAAAGGACTGTGTAGCACCATACTAGAGTATTAACACAGATTCTTTCTCTCCAGGTAAATCATTAGTTCGGCCCCTGCAAAAGTCTTTTTTTTAAAGTACCTGTTTAAGACCCCACTACTTGAACGTAAGTCAACTGATTGATGGGTAAAAAGCTCAGTGTAAATCTTTTATCTTTTTCTGGAACTAGCGGTGATGGTGATTTGTTAATTTTTCTGTCAATGTTCTTCTCTTAACTGTCCCCTTCGTTTTATGCAAGAAAAATTCTGAAATTATGCAAACTGAGCCCAAAAATGTGAAATTATGCGATTCTGTTAATTCTAACAAAGAATGATAAAGGAAAATAATTAGAAATTATGCCCAAAAAATTATCAAATTTTGCTAAATTATGCGAGGTGCATAAAACCACGGGGACAGTCTTAAACCGGAATATAACTTGTTTTGTTCAGCCTGAAAAATACCTTTGTCCCTCTTATGTGACCCTCACCTAATAACTTTTTGCTTTCTATGAACGATGCACATCATCCGCTAGTGCCATACAGTATGACTAAGAATACACAGAGCAGGAAGAAAAATGTTTAAAATAAACACTGATCTGTTCTTGTTTTCGTAAAACTGTGGCATGGTAAAGTCTGAGGGCTGACTTTTCCTAAGCTGAGAATTGACATCTGTGTATTTGAGCATGTTCTACTTATGAAATGACTTAATATATTGAAAGCGTGTAAAATCTTTCCAGTCTTCACAAGAGAGGATGCTGGTACTCCACATGTTCTCTGTGTTATCCATGCATTTAGAGGAGCCAATGATGAGGCAAGGTGCAAAAGCTTGCTATGGCTAAAGGATTGGACAACATAAGTGTGTCCCTTGCTTTAATTAGTTTGACTGATGTGGAGACTGCTGTATGAATATTTTGTATTGCTCAGGACCTTTTTGGTGCTCTTTGTTTTGATGAATGCTTTTTGGAACGGTAATTTGTTTCCGGGTGAGAAGTGAATACAAATCTTCCCTTTCTTACATTCTTGTATAGTGTTTGTGTGCATGTAACATGCTCAAAGGTGTGCTTGTTTATTCATGGTCAGATGAGAAAAGGAATTCACACAGATTTTCCTCCCTTTGTCCAGGTGGGAATGGGAACTCAGCTAAAGACGGCGAAAGATCTTGTCTGTTTGTTAATGTTTGAGCGCTTAATCGGCTGCTTGCATTGCATGTTTCCTGGGATGCTGAGAATGGTTCTGAGTGTGCAAGGGCAATAATATATTAAATTAACTTGTAAAGCGCATAGAACTTGCTGTTGAACAGTAATATGGGCTATACAAATGCTTTTATTAATTATTATAAATATAAGTAAGAATGGGTGAGAGGGGACGAGAGTCGAGGAGCGAGAGAGGGACTGGCGAAGGGGTTTCATGTTCCTTGATGTATTTTGCTTTTTATTATTGTGTAGCTTCTTGTTATTTTTGTTGTACCATGCAAGATAAAAACTCTTTTATTGATATTGTCCATGTTTTGGTTGAGTTTCTCAAACATAAAAGCAAAGAAACATACATGTTTACTAAGAAAAAAAAATTCTAGGACCTTGGTTTGAGGAATATGTTTTCATTATTTTCAAGTTTCTCGTGTGGGGTGTAGCCAGCTTCACTGTTTTAAGTTCATGTGCAGACATGCAAGGATGAATTTGTTTGGAAATTGTTTATGGCAGTGCTTGTTAATCTTTTTATAGCCATCACTCACCTTTTCCGCTTTTAAGAGGATAATATTTTCTAATATTTTTGTACCACCCATCCCATGTATTTCCATGCGGGGCATTAATTTATTAAACAGCTCCTGTCACTACCCAGGTGATCCCCAACACCCACTGAAATCACCAGATCACCCTCTTGTGGGCAATATTGCCCAGGTTGGCAAGCACTGATTCATAGTATAGATAGACTGATGTGTCAGTCTGTGGTGGCAGGAGGATGGCCACTACAAGACCAACTGTTTTCCTATCCACCCATGTATTTGTCTGTCACTGTCACCTTATCATTCCTCAGAATTAAGTGGCCATGACTTTGTCCATGTTCTTCTCTTACTTTAACTTGAACAAACAGTTGCAGTACAGAGTCTCCACCTAAACACACGCTCCACTCAAGCGTACGCTTTTGTGATATGGTGGTTTTTTAAACTATAAAATAATTTAGATGTACAAACGCACCGTCACTTCCTCTAACTCTAAACGCATGCTTCAATCTGCAAAACAAGCAACAGGTAAAGCATGACAAAAGAAAAAGTGGGCGGTTGGCGGGTGCTCTGGTGTGGTTTGCTCCTTCTTTCCTATCATATCTATCATCCTTATCTTCCCTTCTTCTTTTTTATGTTTGTTACTCTCTTGTAACACCTCTAATCTTCTGGCGCTCATATGACCTTATGCAGTTGCGAGCGCCGCAAAACCTCTACTAAAACTATATAAAAAAACAAAAGAAAAATTCCATTGCAACCTACACACTTGCATTACACAAGTCTAGGATATTTGGGGAGACCACCCCTCATGCAGAACAAAGAGTGATGGAGAGCATTTTCTTAAGTTTCACACCCAACACATGGTGTCATAGGTCTCAGACTATGAAATGTCTTTGAGAGGGGTTTCTCATTGGTGTTTGGGTGACTGTAATGTTAAGTTTGGACTATGATGTGCAACACAAGTGAATGCATTACAATATTAGACAGAGAAGAGTCTCTGAGAGAAAATGTCGTAATTTCATCATGGCATTTTTTACCGAGTTACAATAGATGACAGGCAATCGAGAGTGGTTTCTTGGAAAGCCGCGTGGCTGAGCACTCTTCCCTTATGATTGTCACCAACAGTTTCATCTATCTGTTCCCGACATGTGCACATCAGTACAAAATGTACAGTGAGTCGGTCTTTCTGCTTTTTTCCACCGCTAAAGCCTTTTGTAGTCATAACCACCATCGGGGAATCCTCTATAACATTGCAGAACATTCGTGTTTCGTCACTTTATCAGCGAAAGCAACCCCCCCCCCCCCCCCATCCCAACCCACCCTCCAAGGGATGTCCCTAAAATATAAAGGAAATGAATGGTTGCGTCCCTTTCCCCCTTAACACAGGTTCATGTAAACGCACGCTCCTTGTATGCACACTTAGGAGCCCTTCCAAGTATGTATGATCGTTTCGGCTGAGACTACTCTATCATAATTCTATTTCAAACGGACAACAACTTAAAAATTATTGTACATTCAAGGGGAAGATACGTAATAAACAAAAGTTGAAATGTTTGTGGACAATATGTGGTTTATTTAATAACTCATTTTGCTATTAGTGAACATAAATGATTGCCATGGAGAAAAAAAACAACCAACATTAGGAATGCAACTTGATATCGATCCACTGAACCTTCACCGCTGTGTATATTATATTATATATGTATATATATATATATATATATATATATATATATATATTATATATATATATTACATATATGAGGCAGTGAGGTGGAATCAGGCACTCGTCAATTTTTGGGCATATTGAGTTATTGGTATCATCTTAAAGCTTGTTCATTTGTCTTGCTTTCAATGAAAAAATTACCCATCCATCTTCAATAGAAGTGGAGATCTTTTGGATTGAAGGAGGTGGGGGTCACCTGGTTTAGGAGGTAAAATTACCAAGAAAATGGTCGCCAAAGCTTCGTAAATTCTAAAGCTGGAGAGTCCATGGAAATTGTAAATTTATATTTTTGTGCATTTAATCAGCGTTTTCGGTGAAATCCTCAAAGTGATGTGTTTGTAAATGGACATAAAAGGTGTAGAACCAAAAAACAAAAATTTGATAAAAATTGCTATTTTCTTCGAATTCATTATTTTGACGAGAGCCTGATTCCAACACGCTGCCTCACATATATATATATATATATATATATATACTTATTATGACAGACAATAGAACCCTGAGCTCAAAGAATGAGTTGACTACAGAAGGTTCTCCCCCAGTCATTATAAAGCATGCTGCTCAGTGAAAATGTACTTGATAGGACTAATAAATTTCTCATGCACAATTGAAACGCTCCACTCAACAAAGAATGTCCAACAGAATTATCTGGAAAAAAAAATCTAAAACATAAGCTTGGGAACTTTGAACATCATTCATCAAAAGCAAAGAGACAAAATCAGAGACCATCATGACTTTAATGGTAGAACAATTATTAAAATAATGTCATCAGTTGTTACAAAACTTTCAGCAAAAATTCCACGAATTTAAAAAAATGAATTTGACATTTTATTGTAAAGAGTGGCACCAATTTTTTATACAATACATCACTCAGGTGTACCAACAACAGCAACTGCTCGAGTGTAAGCTAGCTGGAAGAGACTATCAAAAATGGGCTGACAGAATTTTCATTACACACAACTAAAACAATACCATATTATTATTATATGCATTCTGAAATCAATCTACAAACTTTTCAATTAATAAAGTTATATATTTAAAACCTGTATCTGATTACACTGTAATTTACACAAACATACTTTCAATACATGCAGAGACATAAGTTCATCACACTAATCACAGCAGTCTTAATGGTAAAGGGATTTTTACCCCCCCTTTATTTTGGCACAAGTACGTGAAAAACTGCTACATTTATCCCTACAGATAAGCATTTGCCCACATTCTCTAAATTTTAGTACCAACAAGGCTACAAGAGGACAGGAAAGTGCTTCCTACAAGAAATAGGCTTTGTTCTGTAAGAAAATGATAATGTCTTACACCCTAACCAACACTGTTTAGTGGCAGGCTGCTTTGACTATACCTCTCACTCTCACTCTCAGGGCCATCCACTGCTGAGTGGGATATAGCATCCTTGTAGGACAGATGGCATGTATAAATCAAAATCCCGGCTCGCAAACCGATTTCATGTCTTCTGCGTGCAAGGCAAAGAGTCTAACCATTTCAGTAATTTCACCTCGAACACCACTCTGCAAGATATTATTATTATGCCATCAGAAACAACAAGAGACAGAGAGAAATAATGCAGAGAAACATCAGCTTGACAGATAAAATACTTTATAAAAAGCCCTTAAGTCGTGAGGAAAAACATCAGTACCTCAGTATTAAAACACACTTGAGGTACCCGTCTTTATCAACACAGTAAGCACAAACTTATGAACACCTTGTCAGAATTTTTTTTTTTTAAATATCCCCAATCTCTCCAAACATCACAAAGGTCAGACTTGTGAATCTCTGACAAAAATATCATTTGCGGGACTTGTGTCCCTGGACATCTTGACTTCGTTAGAGGCAGTTGTCATGAACATTTTATTATGTAACATATTATTAATAGTTGTTTTTTTTAATTATAATTTATTTATATAATAATAATAGATTCCGAAGCAGATGACCCAATTTTTGTTTCAGCAAACTAAGACAAGACAGTAGTAAATTGTCAACTTCACATAAACGGCAATGAACATATCGCCACCCCAGTGCTTTCTTGTCATATCTCCATTTTTAATAACAGTGAAAACACATCACAGCAAAGAGTGAGCTTTAGAAGAAGTCACATTTTCACTGTTTAAAAAAATGGAGATACGACAAGAAAGCACTGAGGTCGCGATATATCATTCTCAAAAGATGACAACAACTATAGTGTCCCTTTTCCCACATCTGCAACAAAAAGCATAAAATGGAGAATCTGTTCATTTACAGACTTTCTCAGTTAATTTGAAAAATGACCAGACATACAACTTAATGGCAAATAGGTCAAAACAACAACATAAAATAAATGTCTGGGTCTATTGTGTTCGGGGTTTTTTTGGGAGGGGGTTTTAGTAGAGGGTTTTACGGCGCTCGCAACTGCATAAGGTCATATGAGCGCCAAGGGGTGGGTGTCAACAGAAAAGTCTTTACAGGGAATCAGACTTACTCTGCTCACCTCTCTATTTCAACAGCAAAGGTCTGCTTCGGCTATCAAGGCACCCTGGAAATAGCAGGTCACAAGAGTGTGACAAACATACAAAAGAAGTAGAGGAAATGACAATAGTAAGGATTAGGAAAGAAAAAGCAGCAGTTCCCTGTTGAAGATCAGGCACAGTTACGAGCATGACATGATGAATCAGCCCATTTACAATTCCACTGTGCTTGGTGTTCGGTTTTGTTGCATCGTAATCTGGGAGTCCTTTAAAAAGCGTGGTAATGAATACATTTTCCAAACCAACGGACCCTTAAGATACACGTCTTAAAAGTAAAAAGGTACTTGAAATACATTCCAGTTATACATGTAATATCCATATTTATGCTTCTATTAACTCACTCACTGCCGGTGCCTTAGCTCAGACCAAGCCGTTGCCTGCCAGCTTTTTTCTACCTTTTTCAAAATCCAGTTACTCTGTACCTATTTAGGTTAGATTTATGAAAATAGGCCAGTTTTAGTAAGAGATGTTGAGCTTTACAGAACAGAAAGAATTTTGACTCTATGTTATTTTGTTTATGTTTTATAGCTTTTCAAAAAACAACAAATTTTGGGGACTAAAACTTTTTGGGGGGCCAAACTAGCAAGTACAAAATTTTTGCCGTTTTGTAAGAGTTACTGTTTCTGTCCTAAAATACACACAAATTATAACAAAACAAAAAACTAAATTGATAAGTTTATGAAGACTTTGGCTGGATGCTTGACATTAGTCGTAGTACAGTCCACGCCAGCTTTAAGCACGCCGGCATAAAGCATGTTTCAGACTCAAGCACGCTAAACAGCTCTTGCGAATTTTTGCTATATAAATTACACGCCTCTAAACACGGTAACTTCGGCTTCAGGTACGCTTCATTTACAAGACAGTCAATACTTTCATGATGACCCATCGAAGTTTGAACATAGTCTCAGCAGTGAGTTGAGTGAGTGTGTTAAGAGAAACAAAAACAGCACAAGTGATGGACACACACACATGCGCAGAGAGGAAGGGAGAGAGATGCACACAGTTGACACAACTGCGCACGTGGACATAGGATCTAGCCTAGGGCAAAGCTACACACAGACAAAAAAAAATACAAAGAGGGTCGGGGAGATGAGAAAAGGAGGTAGGCTGCGATTTCACCTTATTGCCCCTCGCTATCCGATAATCCTGATTTGGTATCACGCGCGAGGTGGGATCAAAGACCGTGTTAGGGGAATGAAGGCGGTGGTATGAATGTGGTACAGCGGGCAGTGGTACGCACAGGCAGTGTGTAGGCCTCGTGTGCTGTTTCGTGACTGGCCGCCTAATTTAAGTTTTCATTTCCCAATTGACCACAAAACAAAACAAACAAATGAAAACTACCATGGCAGGTAAAAATAACAGTGCACACTTTTGCAGGACCACTAAAGGTTTACTTACTAAGGGAAATAGCACAGGAAATTTTCTACATGAAAATCTCTAGATTTTATTTACTTCGCACTCAAGCACGCTTTGGCATTAAACACGCTTCAGCTTTCTCCCGATGACCGTGCTTAAAGCCGGCGTGGACTGTACTAGATCTAAGTAGTGCAGCACAGCCCACTGCTGACAGATGATCTACCTCTTTTTCTATCTCAAACTAACATCACTTTCCATTATTTTGCACTTCATCACCTGAATCAGAGTTCATTGAATCATATGGATTCAGAATCTCTAAAATTACGAGCCATTTTCAATTCATATCAGCATGAGCAGCGCTTTAGCGTTTGGTCGACTTCGGCCGCCCGACGTTCAAAAGAAAACCCAGAAAGGACAAATGGAACTCTCGTTCCAAAAATAGGCAGAACTTCAAGGGAAATCATTCCAATAAAGTGAAACTGCTCTGAGTAGTCAATGGGATGTTCCTCTAGTAATTGGGCTATGCCGTTGCCGCATATGTGTCAGCAATTAGTAGAAATAAAGAGGAAAATATGAGACCAACAGGGGTGCGGTAGCGGCGGTGAGCAGTCGTCGCCAATTCACCGACACAGGTACGGCAATGGCGGCCGACACAGGGGCGGCAATGGTGGTGAGTGAGTTAAATCGAGTGGATTAAAATGTGTCCATTCACATGCCAAGAAATGTTTCACCATGCACTGCTTTTATGAGCGAGAGAGTGTTGGAAGGGATAAAGATAGAGACCGAAAGAGATTATTATTGCCTACTCTTTTTACGCCATGCATATTGTAAAACCCTCACATTGATCACAAAAAGGAAATTCCGACAAAGATTTCCTTCAATTATTTTAAGAGTATAATACTTGCCAGCACTAGCATGGCCTTTTCACTGAGAAAAACTCCTGGCAAACACATAGACACAACCTAAGTTTCAGAGCAACCAGCCACTCGCTCCCAGTAATGGAATAAAAAATGGACCAACTTTACATTACAACGTACATGTCGTATCCGATAATCTTCTCTGAGTGAAGATTAAAACAAAATAACCCCAGTAAAGACTGCACTTGGAAAAGCATAAAAATAAAACTGTTAAAGTTAAAGAAAAACACAATCCACTACACGTCAGCTCGATAAGAACGTCCTCATAGTTTATTCCCTATGGTATATATCTCAATTTTCTATCAGATGCATAAACCTTTAATCTGATAAAGGTTTTTTGTTTTAGTAGAGGTTTTATGGCCCTCGCAACAATCTGATAAATGACAGACATATCTGCATGTTCACCCAACTTATGACATATACAAAAACATAAAGTGTTCATCTCAGATGTGTTCATCTCAGATTTTTGCACAAAGTCCATTTATGACAGATATTCACATTTGAATCATACAACAAATACTACTAACCTGCACAGAAATCTATCTGACTTTTTAAAAATTAAATTAAAAAACTCAGAGGTCACCCTTATCATGGGAAGTGCCCCAGTCCATGGCAGTGAGACAGCTCCTTGTAAGAGACATACCACTGCAGTAGTAATATCACACATTCTTAAGACAGCAGGTTCACCAAATGCAAACGTGTAGTAATTAAAAAATAATTGTTCACATTATAAGGTAGATAATCACATCACAATTGCAAACAATTATGCTCATACAGCAGTAGTATGTTTTAATGCAATAGTAGGAGCTCATAAAATATCATCCCAAATACAGATCACGCCATGCTTTATCAGGGTTCCAGAAATCGGCACTCGTGGTATAGCAATATTAACCAAGCTCAAAAAAGTATATGTTGTTCTATCTAACCAGATTTTGTCATACATCTCCTGGGAAAAGTTTCCGTAGAAATAAAAAATTGAATGAGAAAGTTGTTGACAAATTTAAAAAAAAAAAAAAACAAGTTTTCGCATTAAATGTAAGAATTAAATCTGAATAAATTGACATGGTCATTCCAATAATGTTTTACCCTTGAAAAAACTTCACTCACAGCAAGCAGCCAGGAAATATTCAAAATATATGGATTTCCGGATTTAGCCAGAAAAATGTTATCCCTATATAATATAAAGATCTCTTTCCACATAAGCAACAACTTTGAAAACACCCAAGAATATCTTGGGCCACTTATACTGTCAATTAAGGCATTATGCAAATAAAAAATACACCCAACATTTACCCCGCATTAAACATTTCTATCAACAAGCTCAATAAATACATGGTAAAAACTAATCAACAATATGCTGTCAGATGTAGGCTATGCAACAAGGAAATGTCACATAAATCTCAGCCTAGCCCAACGTCTAAAGACATCATGATAACAAATCCAACCACAGCTCCCCATGATGCCAGTTTGCCATTTCCACTGAAAAAGACGAGAAAAAAAAGAGAATAGGTCAGGCTTTTTCATAACTCCCTTAACTAAAGGAAGAGTACACAGAAACATAGTGTACTGCAAGCAAGAATTATAAGGAAAATGGATCTTTTTTATCACTTGCTAGGAATTCTTGCAAGTCAAGTACTAAACTCATTCGCTACTTATTATTTTCGGCTTGTGGACTAATTTTTTTCGGGAAGGCGAAATGAGATGATGACTAGTGTGCAGTTCAAAGGTCTTTAGGGCCACAAATTCAAATAAATATTAACATATTATGTACCTAAATTTTCAGTATGATTTGTAGAATACATCTGTAATGTTTATTTGTGCATTTTTCAACTTTGGTTCCTGTAAGAGGCGATTATGCAACAAATAAAAATAAAATTTGAAAATTAAAAATTAATCATCTTCGGTGAAACTCAAAAATCAAGTTTGCACCTAGTCAAATGATACATAAAAATGACCATAAATGAATATAGAAGTGGAAAATATTGAAAAATTTGCAGTTATTTATATACATTCCGTAAAATTTGCACATTTGGATCATGACATCCGATATTGAAAAAAAAATTTAAAAATTTTATAATCTTGAAAAATGGGCAAGATGCATTCACAAACAGAAAAAAACACTCGTATCGTATATGGAATTATTCAGAATTGCATTTGGAATAAACGTACACATGTCTTGAGTGGTATTTTTGGTGTAATTTCACAAAAAATAGTGATTTTTGGGAGAAAAAAATAATTTGACAATTTAGATCTAGATCTAGAGCTTGATCTAGATCTAGCACTGAAAAATATTGATTTCTCAATAACAGAACAATGGCAATTTGAGCCCAATTGTATCAACATTCTGAAGAAGAGTCCTACATTTCTTTAGTGTGCAAAATAATGATATATTTTGTTGTGTAAAAGTACTAAGACTGGGGTCTGGGCTATAATTTGAGCATCGCGATAAAACAAAGTCGCTTAAACTTCGAAATTGTGTTCCAAAACTGAATCAAAACTTCTGATTTTCGGTGGAAACGCTTGACCCGAAAGTCAAAACTATATAATGACCTTTATCTTAACAAGGATATGTGGATTGGAATAGAATCTAAGCTAAAATTGAAGATCGATTCTCCAGCCGCTGGGGGCGGCTTAGCATACTGATGGCACTTTAGCCGCGCCGCCCCCCACGGCTCAGCGTAGCGAATGAGTTAACTTGTTTCCGACTAGTGCTGCCTTCACAAAAGGCACGTGTATCACTCCCAGGAAAAAGGTGCACTATTTTTTTAATCAAGGGGGAAGCAGGGGGAGGGGGGGTGGTGTGATGGAGAAATATTTTTACATCTTCTTCAAATCAACCAGCTGCTTTGATGTGATGAATAAGCTCTTAATTTTACACACAAAAAACATTGCATCAATTCCCAAATGGGGAAGCTATATAGCACTATGTAAGTGAAATAACCCTAAACAAATTTATATCAAATGAACTTCAAAATACTAATTACATTTAGAGGAAAAACCATGACTAGTTCAATAGTTCAAATAAAGGAAAAGTTCCTTTCGTTAAAGTTCAGTATGAGTGGTCTCCACTGCAGTGAAAAAAGTAGAACCTACAACAAGGGGGCAACTTTCAACTGCCAATAAACAACAATGACATACCTGGTTTGCGCTTCAGGAATAATATCATCAACAACAACATAGATCATGGCACCAGCAGCAAAAGCCAAGGCATAGGGCAGGATTGGCTCAGCGACAAACACAGCAAAAGCTCCCAATAAGCCAGCTATAGGTTCCACCATGCCACTCAGCTGCCCATACCTGAACAAATTGATATATGACAATGACAAACATCTTTCACTGAGACAGGATCGTCTCTAATCCAAAGACTCATGGTGTAGAAACAGAGTATACTTTGCACTGTCTCAAGCTAAATTTGAATCATTAAACTATGGTACTCTGTAGGGATGTAAACTGGCAGCCTGCAATTTAGCTTTAGGCCACTTTCAGGGTAGATTCTTATATTTACAGTATGCGCTCAAGAAAAAAACATCTTCTGTTTTAAGCCTTTTCACCAAGTTGGCTACCCAAGAATTACAAAAGTTTTTTGCTATTCATTTCCTCATTTTGAGAAATTTTACGAAAGCATTTTGAGTTTCACAACATGTCAAGTTTTTTTTAATGCAATTCTTTGAATATCTTGATAGCAACTCTGAACAATCCTATTATTTTGATATAGCAGATAGAACATTTGGTTTCTGACCTCATGGTCTTAGTAACTCAATACAACCAAAAATGTCAGATAGAGCTTCGTAATTCTGAGGTAGCGAGTTGTGTCTACATCAATATTTGGTGACAATTCAACTTCTTTTCCAAACCCGTAATCCTCAAATTGCCATGTATTCTATTGCCTAATAGAAACAAAAAGCTTCAGTGTGTGAATCTGAGGCCATACTTAGAGCACATGATGGATTTCGTGTGCAATATGGTCCTGCATGTAAAAAGGAAAGAGATAGTAGAATCATAGATGACAAAGAAGAAAAAAACAACTGCATTGTGCTGTGCTGGCCTCTAAATACTCTAGAAAAGCATAAGCACCCCATACAGCTTCTCTTTCTCAGCGTGGGTTGGCCTTTACAAGAAAAATCGAGGCTGGCCTCCAAACTTGTCTAAATTGTGTCAATAGGGACATAAACACCTTTAAAAAAATAATGAGGAAAGAACAAAAATTATACAGAACGCCACGACTTCCAGCCATAATATTATTGAACATTGAAAAAGGGAACAACGGCCATATGTGGTATAATATTAAATCCTAAAACTTCGCACGCAAAAGACGTGCATTCGACTCCCACATCAGAAAGATATTTCATAGTAGAATTCTTTTCCATGCTGGACTTTATCCCACACAGCCAAAATTGGTTCTGACAAGCATAGAAGCCCGTCTTTCAAATAAATTGTGTCGATGAGGGCGAAATATATTTACAACCACTTCAAAATCGATTCATAGCAAAGAAACTTTTCATTTTTTACATACCAAAAGCTTTTCATGGTTGACATCCCAGAACCTCTCAGGGGTAAACTGACAGCCAGGCCCTCAGGGAAGTTTTGAATTCCTATTCCAAAAGCCAAGTTTCTACAAATAAAAAGGATTATGAATAAAAGCAAGGTCAAGAATAAAAAACCAGTCATTAGACTTTTTTATAAAGCCTTTGAAGAGGACAAAATTAACACACCAAACCCATTCAATAAACATTATACAAGTAAAGAAAAAAAGTAGCAATAAAAAAAACAACCTTTCAATATGCACTGACTGACAGCATTTTCCATATTGAAGAGAAATAATGTAGGTAATACTGTTCCAGGAGTGAGCACAGTGCAAATGTGCTGGCATTTATTCATTAAAATATAACCATATACATGAAAATGCAATTATTATTATTACCATCATTAAAACTAAAACACAACTACAAAAAAAGTATCCATATTGTTAGCCAGTTATGAGCAATCCTATTTGCTAGTGAAGACATGTCTACAAGAAGAAGAATAAGCTTACACTTTCAGTGACAGGCAAAATGAAATAAACAACAACAAAAAAAGGAAAACTTTAACAAAATAAAATTGTTCCTATTGTTTAACTCACTTCAGACGGTTCACACAACAGTTGCGTAACCCCCGCCACGACGCTCGCGACCGTTCCCACGAGCCCTGCGTGACCAACTTTGGAATTTTTTCGCTGTACAAATCACGCACGGATCGCGCGACCCGCCTCGTACCCTTGTTTGGCCAAGCCTGAGCTTCTTAGACTTCATTTCGTATCTATGGGGCCCGTAGTTTTTAAGTTATTGAAGGTGAAGGACAGTGACCCCAACTGGGGTTGAACTGACCGGAACTCGCGTTTTGTTTTTTTCTATACAGCTGATAGTAATCCGACAGTCGCGTCGTAGTAACGGTCGAAGAAGTCGCATGAACAAGAATCACATAATTTCGCCGTTTTCGATACTTCTGTACGTTTTACTAGTTCTTGTGTCTCAGAATATGATGTGTCTGATAGTTAGGATCCTGGATATGTACCCGAACACGGCCCGAGCCGTAGTTCTAGGTCTAGATCTAGCACTATAGTACTGGCTACTGGTGTTGTTGTTCGCGCAACGAAATCACAACGTCGTGCCGTATCTGTCTCATGTCATACAGTGTATGGGTCTGAATCAACGCACAGACCAGCTTTTATATTTTCACCAAACACTCACACATGCATACAAATCAAAACAGAACACTTTGAACTTTTATTTTTTGTTGTTGTTGTGAATTTCATTCTACCTGTCACATCTCTGGAAATTTTTAGGAAAATCAAATTTATGCCAATTTTTTAAAAATCATACAAATTAAAGTATTAGTCTTAGACAACTTTGGTTTTTTGTATTAGATTAAGCTTGAATGTTAATTTACTGTGTCAAAAAATAATAACAATAGAGTAATTTTGAGAGTTGTGGCGATTTATTGAAATACTCCCAAAAACGCCAGTCTTCAACGCTTGTGACTGGTGAAAGGGCCCAGTAGTAAGTGAGTCAACCCCTATCCGTACGCCCAAGGGTGATTTTGTACCCCCCGCGTCATATTCTTCACATTTTAGAATACTTCTCATATGGAGATCTCTTAGAAACTTTCAGTATTTCTCAAAAAATCCTTTTGACAGACTGCTATGCAAAGCGCACGGATCGGATTAACAAGTAAATTTCCTTTTTCGAAAGTGGCGGCACAGAGTTCCTCATGTCATATAGATATGATGGTAAAACACGACGTAAGTTAATCGTATTCTTTCAGCATATTAAGTTTAATATTATAATAGAAACCAGTGAGCTTGCAAAATTCAAGATAAAGCATCCTTAAGATGCTTCACTGGAAAAGAATAAGTAAGGAAAGAAAATCTTTTCCAGCACAACTTACCTTGCATTTTCAAAAGTTGCTGCTTTTGTCTTCCCAACTGCCCCAAAACCAACACCAACTGCTAAACCCTCTGAAATTAATCAAAGACAACATACCAAAACATATGTAAGCACAGTAATTTTCTTAAAAGCAAACGGCTCCATATCCATATATAGAAAAGACAATATACTATTCTATTGGCTAATAAAAATGAGATTTAAAGTTTTCTACTTTTCTTTCACATATTCAAAGTACAGTCGAACTAGCTCTAATGGCCACCTGTACAAGGCAATCACTTGTAGAAACGACCGCTTCCCATTTCCCACTTGAGTTTATTTTGCGATAATGGGTCGCCATCTTTGACTATTTCGACTGCAGTCTACTTTTTTCTAAAACATGAAAGAATTTACAAGCATTTTCTGTTTCGCTTATACATAAAGAGATTAAAGGGATTTTATAATTAAAATCTTTTTCTTCAGAAAAGTTTTTAAAAACTACAGCTAATGGCCACTGCCAACCTCCACCCAGAAACAACTGGGTTGGAAACCCCCCCCTGAGCCAGTCTTACAGCTTCATCCAGCTTCACATCTAAGAAAAACAAATTTGCATCGCACCAATTGAGATCCTCATCAAGGCACAAAACATTAAACAGTAAAGTTTCGGTACAATGTACTCAGCTTTAAATTGACTTTCAGCAGCATCATTCACTTTCTGAAGTCCAGAACCTCATTTAGTGCTTTTACTTTTACCCTTGAAAAGCTATGTGTCTGAAACATACACTTTCCATTTTAACTATCAATTAAGGGATGAAAATAACAAAGTCATAGTTTTTACATACTGAGGAATACAACATGATAAGCCGCAATGTTAAGACAAGTTTTTCACATGGGAGTTTTGCTACCAGTGGACACTTTCATCCCCCCCCCCTCTCTCTCTCTGCCACACACACATAAGCACATACAGGTATGTTGATTAATAAAGTGAATAAATATTACTCACTAACCTCCCCTTTCACTGCCATTTTTTGGGGCTTATGCTACCCACAGCTGAGACATTATAAATCTTCGGCCT